GGTCACTCGGTCATGAAGCTCTGACAACGTCCGGGACCAGGCTCGCGTGCTTGAGCAAGTCATCCTCAGCGCTGAAGTCCTCAAAGATTTGGATTTCGTCGCTCGCGCTCGCGGGTAGCAGAGACTGGAGGCGCTGCGACGATGTGTTGGTGGTGGCCGGTGTAGGAGACTCGGGTGTCTCGATACGCGGCGCGCGGCGAATCGGGCTCGACTGAAGAGCGGCAACACCGCGGGCCTGGGGACGCGGCGAGTCCTCCCAAGACGAGTCTGAGAGATTGCCGAGGGCATCGCGGAGGTCTTTCTTAGGCCATTGGATCATGAGGCGAGCATCGTGCACGTCCACCATAATCTCGGTGCCCTCCGTCTCCGATGTAAACGAGTCTCCCTTGAGGAGCTCCCACGTGCGGCCCTGGCAGTGCAGCTTCAGTCCGTTCCAGCCATTGCACACAATCTCAATCTTGTTGGGGTGTAGAGGCGAGGCGGCAGGCACGTAGCGGGCCTTGACGTGCACGCGTGACACGAGACGGTTGCCGGAGAGCTGGTAATGGGAAGAGTTGCTGGAGCGGCCCATGAGGAGCGTCTCGCCATTGTCGTTGAGCTCGATCGAAGGAACAGAGGCGAGAGGGGCACGTTCGGCGGAAGAGGAGCCGGGACGTACAATGCTCGGACGGCGGGCGACACGCGGCGGCGAGGACGAGAGGATGCCGGTGCTGGACGTGGGCACAGGCGTGGGATACTTGAGGTGAGCACCGGCACCTCCAACGGAGCTTTTGGTACCTGCTTTTTTAACCGGCCGAGGGAACCCTGGCGAGAGAGGAAAGAGGCTTCGAATGGTGGCAGAAGGGTTGGTGCAGGCCCTTGACCCGGCCGCCAGGGAGCCCAAGACTCCATGGTTCTTCCGGGGGGGTGACGAGTTCATTTGTGGACCGCGACCAAGTCGATGTGAGAAAGATGTAGGGTTTGTAGAAGATTGGCGGAGAGAATCTCGCCGTAATTCCCTCTGAATGTGTCGTGATATAGGGCGTCTTCGCGTGTGGAGGCTCAATATCAGACGTGGACGTGGTTCGCGTGTTGCCCAGTCATGTAAGTGTTGGTGCGGCGACCAGTCGATGGGATTCGATATGCAGGAATTATCAGTAGTCGGGGGGAGATTCGAGGTTTCTGTGAGACCCGGCCGAGGAATATTGAGTTTCCAAAGAAAGGAGGGGTTATTGACTTCTGCTCGTGTTTCTTCAAAAAGTGGTTGCAGGTCGGGTGGGAAGAGCCCAGGCGAATGTGGTGGTGCGGGACTGGGCCTTTTTGATCTGGGCCTAGCCTTGGGGGGGGGGGCCGGATGAGAGAGGAGCGTCACGGTTCGTGGTCGTGTTCTGCTGCTGCGGTCTGAGACGCGGCCCCATCGCGTTGGCGTTTAAAGGTGGGCACTGACAAGTACGTCGAGACGCGCTGGATCGGGCTGGGGTGCGCTGTTGT